TTCCCTCCACGTTCTCTACCCTCTGGTTCCTTCCCCTGAGTGGAATTCCAGTATGTCTTGGTTACACCATGACAGGTGTCATCAGAGCATGTTGTCCTCAGTGTGCAGATCTGCTTCCTTTCACCCCCGGACCACATGACTGTGCCTTTCTGGAGACAGGAAGTGTGTGCTTGGAGCTTGGACTCAGAGTCCCTGGGCCTGGCAGGCAGTGTCCCTCCCCAGCCAGCCCAGGTCTGCTGTCCACGTGAAGGAGTCACGGGGGCTGTCACAAGGTCCAGGGGAGGCCTTGCCCACAAAAGTACTTGGTGGAGCACCACTTAGGACCATGGGGACTGGGCTTCCCATCGAATGCTGCCAAGCTCTGTGCCGAAGAGCACCTGCCCCTACATTGGGCCACACTTACTGTAGCACAGAGGCAAGAAGGAGGATGGGATGGTGGACCTTTTGTGTTATGTTCTCAGTAATTCTGAGTCAGTCCTTTGGGGTTATCTTAAATTAAATACAGTTCATTTTATATCTGAGGCTAGAATTTGAAGATCTAGTCCAAAGAAATCAAAAGACATCCTCCTTCAGGTCTCTTGGATGCATCTCAGCAAGTCCTGACGTGCTGCAGGTGTGAGATGGCAGGGAGGCTAACTCCTTTGGCAGCACCAGATGCAGTGCAGGCTCACAGGTGTGGTGGCCTCTCAGGAGTGCCATGCGTGATATGGGCACATGGGGTGGCAGCTCCCTGGGGCGGGCAGGATCCCATCCATAGTCCCAGGGTGACTCCTATGATGACAACTCCCTCCCACAGACACCTGCCCATCCCTGCTGTGTCCAGGTGTCACAGCAGGAGAGCATTCTGTTGGCATTCTGCCCGCTGAGAACTTGACTTCTTATTACACCTGTTTGCTCAATGACTTGGCATTTTCTGTGGGTAAAATTTATTTAGTAACAAATGTATCTATTTATTCAGCAGCAGGTGTGGCGCTAGTGACTGCTGACTGGTACAGCCAGTGAGAGTGGCCACTGTGACCGCCCAGCAGGTTGTACTCTTACAGTGCCTCTCACTCTGGCCATCTAAGGAACTTGGCAACATTCAGCAACCCAAAAAGGGCAGCCTGTTATTGTCCCCATTTTACAGATGAGAAACTAAAGCATGGCAAGTTAGGAGACTTGCCCAGGGTCACACAGCCAATAAACTCACAGCCAGAATTTGGGCCTGGCTGTTCCACACCAATGAATACACACTTCATTGACCCCTGCACTGCCTCAGTCACTGACCAATAAGTGCTGTTTGCCCAGTTTCAGGATGTAGGGACACGTGGACCTGCTGATGCAGCAGAGGAGGCAGACTCACCTATTTATGGGGTCAGTGGTGGTGGAACAAAACTTAGACTTGGGTCAGCTGGCATTTGATTCTGTGACCCTTCTGTCCACCTCACCTTTGCCCAAACTCAAAGAGCCCCTTCAGCAGGCCCTGAGAGGTGACTCACTTTTCTAGAGCTCAAGGACCAAGAACATGGGTGGGCCACCACTTTGTCCTTGGGAGGGCCTTGCACACAGAAGCAGCGGTGCTGTGCAGATGGCACTGTGAGGCGCTTGGCAGGAAAGAGCCAAAGCCATAAACATTATTTGCTCTTTAGCATCGGAATCTCACCTTAGAACCTACCCAGGGCCAGGGTTCAGCAGCAGGATAGTGTCTATAAAAGCATCCATGGCAGCACTGCTCATGGGTGCGGATGGCTAGAGCAGCCCAACTCAGGGGCTTGACCTTCACTCTGCGGCCACCCACCTGTGGGCTTTCAAAACACCTGTGCCTACAGAGAGGCATGCAAGTTTGGGCTCCACTTTGCCAGGGCAGCGTTGGGGGGACCACCCTGTCCTCAGCATGTGCCCTCGGTGTGCACCTACAGGGGGGCTGCCTAGTAAAAAAGGAAAGTACCTCCACCCATACTCTCCCAGTGAGATATTCAGAGTCTAGGGACCAGCCAGTCACGTACTGCACTGAGACCCAGGAGGACCCTGGCCCAGGCTTCTGCTAGGACCTTGAGTTTGTTCACATGGGGTAGGACCAAGGGTGGGGCTTGGGCATTAGTGCGCTGGTCAGGTGACAGTGATGTGTGATCTGTGCTGAGAACCACTAACCTCCAAGCCATGCAGTTGGGACCAGTTCCATCACTATGGTTCCTCATTGACCACAGACACCACAATGGGCTTGTATGTCAGTGGGAAGAGTTCCCGGAACATGGCAAGCTGGAAAAGGCAGGCATGTGACCTCTCACTGTACTCTCTTCTTTGACTTTGCTGAAGTGGTGGTGTCCCATAGACTAGGGAGGAAAGAATTACAGAGACTGACCTGTGCTTGATTTGTTTCCATGGTGATATTGTGAACACCACCTCCCAGTGTGGTCACAGCATTGGTTTTGAAAAGTTAAGACAGAAGGCACAGGTGCTGTCCACAGTTTTTCTGACCTGGGCTCCTAGGGGGCTCCATCTCAGCCTCATACCTGGGTCGTGCAGTGTGAAGTCGTCCCCATGAGACACAGCCCCTGTAATGTTGCAAGCAATGGCTTCATGAGTTATGGCCCCATTACCTGCTCAGTGTGGATAATGCAGAACAGCTCACCACTAATAAATGTGTCGTGTCTCCCCGATAGGAGCCACTGCCGCCTAGTGCATAAATAAGTCAAGCCTTTTTAAAAAAGAAATCTGTATTTAAGGACGTGTTTGTCTGTGTTTTTTGCCTGTCGTAAAGGTCACCTGGATAGATTTTTCCTTCTTTAGCATTGCAGGCCGTGAAGAACTGGGCATTTCTATTCTCCCTCCATCCAGTGAACCTGGGGACTAAATTAGATTCTGAAATTGAGTGTGCAGTGGAGTCAGTAAGTTACCATAATGGGAGGGTATTGCTTCTCACCTTGCAAGTAGCGAGGTCATGATAATATGAAGCGAAGTGGATTAAAAATAAAACCAAAGGTATTTATTTATGACCTGCTCAGAATTGGATTGGCATCCGTGTAAGTTGCATCTAATGGTGAAAGACAGCAGATTGATGTTGATGTGTCCCTGAGGACATATTGCCAGTGAAATTTGCTCTGTGAATTCAATTTAAAGGCCCAAAGAAAGTATCCAAAATGCAAAGGAAATGGAATTGAGGAATGGAGGGAACCCAGCAACAGTAAAATGGCAATTAGAGGGAGTGCTGGCATGTAACCTTGGGGATGGGGGATGGCCAAGGGTCCTACATCAGCTCTACGTCTGTGTCCCAAACGCCACAGTGTCCAGGCCTATCCTGATTCTACCCACGCAAGAGTGCATCCCCAACCAGACAGTGGGGAAGGGGATGCAGGGAGCCCAGGCCCATAGACCAGGCTGTGCACTGTAGAGCCAATGTCACAGGACTCCTTCTGCCCACTTTGTAGAGTCCTGGAAGCTTGGTGGACAGGAGGCCAAGAGCTACCACAGGCCAGGGACTGGGCCTTGCTGGGCAGCACCTAGGCAGCATGAGCAGCCTGAGCAGCCTGAGCCAGCTGCCCTGAGTCACGTATCATTTGCCAATTGCTGGGAAGGGGCAGAAGCAGCACCCTCAGAGCCCACCTGCCTTCCTGACTTCAGATCCCACTTCTGGATGAGAAGGGAGGCAGGAATGGGATAGCCTGCTGGTGGTCCAAATTCTCTAGGGCCAGTGTTCAGCAGGGCCATCAGAGAAGTGTTGGCTTCTCCCTCAAGCAGTTTGACTGGCTTCACGAGAGGGAGCTGCCCTGGGCTGACGCTGACTGTTGACCCCCTGTGATCCCAGGACCCTGCACTTTTCCTTCCCAGCAGCAGCCATAGTTGCAGTCAGCAAGCCACTGTCTCAGCAGTGTCTGTCCCCTGGCTTCTAAACCCTGAGCTCTGGAGACATTCCCTCTGCGTCCTATGGGGATATGACTCAGTGTCCCCATGGCCCACCCAGGCTGAACTCAGTCCAGTTACAGGCCTGGGATACAGGGTGGAGCAGAGGGGGCTCTAGGTGGAAGCCGCCAAGCGGAGCTCCTCCTTCCTGGAAACCAGGAGGGCCCTGTGAGTGGCAGTGACTGGCACTGTCCAGCGTGTGCCAAGGATGTGACCAGTGTGTCCACTGAGAGTCCCGTGTGGTCAGGGTGTGTCAGTGGGTGGCCAGTCTATGCATGTCTGGTGTGGCTGTGCTACTGTGGCTGTGTGTGTCCCTGTCTGCCTAGCTTCTGTGACAGGCCAGTCATGCCACACTGTTTCAAGAGGAGGTAGCTGGGCTCACGGTGATACCACCGTCTTAAGTGCTCAGCTTAACCGTAATGTGAAGCTGGGTTGTTGGTGCCCAGCCCTTACTGGGCTGATGCCTCTGCCATGGGACAGGTGTGGAGAAGAACCAGGTGGCCCTGCTATACTTCAGCTTCAGGCTCCATTCTGCAGCATGTGCACAGCTCTTCAGCTGCTGGCTGCTGGGCCTGGAGGGAGTTGCCTAAGGTGGAGGGGTGTGAGCTTGAAGTAGTTATGGGGCAAGTGGAGTGCCACTTCCAATCCCAGAGAGGCTCTGGGGATGGGACAGGTCCTGGCCAAGGCAGCTCCCCTGCAGCCAGGCCCCTGGAGCCCATGTGCCCATGGGAATGCTGACGCCTGCCTCCCTGGCACACCATGGGGATTTGGGTAAATGGGTCACAACTGTCAAGTGCTGGGGCAGATGCCACACAGCAGCTCCTCGGAAGTCAAACTGGGAGCCAGATAGGTCTTCTGCCTTCTGCCCAGGACCTGCCTGGGTTGGGTGGGAGGGGGGCTGGTGGGGTGCAGGGGTGGGGCATGGAGGGGCTGCTGCAAGGGAGGACTGAGAAGGGCAGGACCTCTTCTCCTCCCAGTTGTTGGTGGGTGTGTCCTCCCAGGGGCTCTGCGTTGGGGTCTGGCCTACATCCCTGACTGACCACTCAGCTCCCTCCTTAGACCACCCGTCTCCTTCCCCCAACTGTCCGTCCTCTCCTCTGACTATCCCTCTCTCTCCACAGGAACTGCTGCTCTTCCTCCAGAACCTGCCCACTGCCCACTGGGATGATGAGGACGTCAGCCTGTTGCTGGCTGAGGCCTACCGCCTTAAGTTTGCCTTTGCAGATGCCCCTAATCACTACAAGAAGTGAGCCTGGGGCCCATGGCAGTGGCCTCGCCTTCAGAGCGGCATCCCCTTCCCACCTGGCTGGATACAGGCCCCTTTGAGCTGGTTCTGGGTCAGGCATGGCCTTGCAGGGCAGCCTTGCCCTGCAGTTGACCTGCTAGGATGGGCCCCCATTTGGTCCAGGGCTGGCAGGGGTGAGCAACCTCAGTTTCCTGAGATACCAAAGAGAGCCAAAGAAGATCTGCGTTCGGAGGCCACACATGGTCCAGATGTCCCTCTCCCTGTCCCTGGTGCGTCCTTGCCAAATGCTTACCTCCTGGACCCCTGGCTGAGGGCAGTCCAGAGGCAGCCTCTCTCAGAGAGGCCTGCTGTCCAGGTGCCAGGCAGAGGTGGGTGGGATAGCTATCTCAGACCTGCTCTGAAATGCAAAACTCTGTTCTGTTGAGTGCAAGAGAATAAAACACACAAAATGTTGAGCAACATGTCACAGTAAGCAGGGTCTCTGCATGCAGAGCTCCAATAGCCAGCGATCTCTGGCCCTAGCTTGGTGTGAACTTGGCTGGAAGTGGGTGTCAGCCAGGAGTGGGATCCCGAGGAGGCTGTGAGACAGAGGCCAGGAACAGAGTGAGGATTGTCACAGTTGCCTTACTTATTTCTAGTCACCCCCACTCCTTGCCCTTGGTGGTCTCTGTCAAAAACCCACCATGGTGGGGGAACTGCTCTCGGTCAAGGCTCTAGGGACAGCTGCACAGGCTCATGCTGGGGCATTAGCTGGATGTGTGTGGCAGCCTGCAATCCTGCCCTGCACAGTGGGCTTCCCACAGGGCCGCTGGTCTTCCTGTGGAGAGTCGCCGCTGGGGACGCTGGCCACTTTCCACATCAGCCAGGAGTTAGGCTTTGCTTCCAGGTTGATTGGCTCTTAGGCTCTGCTGGGGCTGGATTTGCTACTCTGAGGCCTTCAAACCTGCAACCACACATTCTCCCAGGTGTGTCATAGGCTGCCTGGCCTTGGTGACATGGACACCCCCATATAATCACTGGCCACATGTGAAGCAGCAGCCACAGCCTCTCTGACCCAGAGCCAGGGTAGTCTCCTGCCCTCAGAGACCTACAGTGGCCCCTTCTCAGATCAGTCCCTCTTTTAGGAGCAGGTATAGACCCTGCCCAAGCCCCGGGACACTGCTTGGAGGCCATGGATATATAGAGGTGTGGTGTGTGTATTCTCGCTTCTACTAAAATAACTCTTGGGTCACTACCTATGGCATGAAGTCAGCACAGAACGCTGTGCAAAGCTCATGTGCTCCCAGGTCAGTGGCAGGATCCAGAGCCTTTGACCAGGTACGTGTACCTCACGCCCCACCCCAGAATCAGGTTTCTTGACTGGCTCTGAGTGGACCTCCTCCCCACCCACTCCTTTTCTGGGGGTCAGGGGTGTCCAGTTAAAAAAGCCACCCCTGTGCTCTGTGCAGAAGCCCCCATCTTATTCAGCCAAGACTGACCCTTGGAATGTCCCCTTCCACATCTCTGATTTCTTTGCACAGCCAGAGTGTTGGGGTCACAGAGATCTGCCTCTTGAGACAGATTTTTTTCCAAAGGATCTCAAAGTTAAGTCCTGCGTGTATTTTCAGGTGTGCAATGCTAGATTGGATGTGAGGCAGGTTGGTGACAGTCCTGAGTCCAAGCAGCTGAACTGAGCTGGTTGGGCTGTGTGTCTGGAATGTGATGTGCTGGAGACCTGGAATAAAGATGCTTACCATAGCCCGTGGCCTTGGCCTGTGATTCAAGGACTCCCTCTTCAAGGAGTAGGGCCCCATCCCAGCCCTGCACCCATTGCTGACAGGCCTGGTGCTTGGTCTTCTATACCAGGCCTTGTGTTAAGAACAGCAGCAATGGTCTTGGTGATACCCATGGGGCTTTGGGGGAGGAGGAGCACTTACACAGTGGCACTGAGAAGCTACTTGCCTGTTGAGGAGGGGAGAACTCAGACTTGGCTCTGATTCCCCAAAGGCCAAACTCTACCCTCCAGGGAGTTGGGAGCTGGCACATTGAGCATCAGGCCAGCTCTTGAAACATCTTCTGCCAGGGTCTAGGTGAAGCACCTGCCCCACCTTGCCATAGCTATAAAGCACCTGCTTTTTTGTAAAAGGGCTGTACTAGCATAGTCTTTAGGATCTGGGCCACTCCTCTGCATCCCCCAAGACTCAGGACTTGCTCACCCTGCCTGCACACACACATACACACACAGACATCCACCTCACCTCCACACCCCCCATTGAAGCACAGCCCTGCCAAGTCAGTTTCTTAGGGCGCTTTTGAGGCTCCCTTGCCTCTCTGGGTGCCCTACTTCTGCACCCACACACTGGGTCCCTCCCCAGTAGCACTGGCTATCTGTCACCTTGTGAAGCTCACTGCTTCGATGTGGGCAGTGGCCCCATCTCTATGGGTGGACTGGTGACTGCAAGGTGTCAGCCATTTACCTCTGTTACCCCTGTGACTAAGTGCAGAGCTGAGCTGGGAGAGCTGTGTGCCTGGCTGGGTAGCTGCAGTGTAGGCTGCAGGACAAGGATCAACTCCCTGCCCACCTGGTGTGAGCCTCTAGCCTCACCAGAGCTCAGCAGTTGTCATTTGTCATCATGGTTGCTGCTCAAGCCTGATGAGGTCTTCCCTGCCTGTGCAGAGGGCCCCAGTAAGCCAGCTGTAGGTGGTGCATTCCCCTTGCACTCACCTGACCTACAGAAAAGACCTGTCCTACTGGCCCCGTGTGAAGGACCAGAGGCACGCAAGTGATTAGGTGGGAGGGCATGTGTGCAGTATTCTCAGTGGAGCTGAGCAACCTGACTGCATTTAGGAGAAACAAGCCCTGTCCCAAGCTTTCAGGTTGGGCTGGTGGAGTGGCTCAAGTGGTAGAGTGCCTGCCTAGCAAGCATGAAGCCCTGAGTTTAAACCCCAGTGCCACAAAAAAAAAAAAAAAAAAGTATCAAGTTTCCAGGTGCCACCTACCCTGAGTTGGCAGCCTTGTGCCTGCCCATTGGCCCCAGTGGATCTGCTCCCAGGACTGTTCAAGGGAGTTCACTTGAGACCTGAAGTACGGGCGCTCCCCATAGCCTTACTGCACCTGCCCAGTCTGTGCTGACCCTCTCCTCCCTCACCAAGCCCTGCTTCCTCCAGTGCAGTACTTTACCACGCCGGGCATGATCTGCTGTGCTTTGACCCACACAGCTTGGAGACCTTTCCACACCCATCCTGAAGTCCCTGACATGGAAGGTCCTCAGCAGGGGATGGCTGAGGGAGTGCGTGAAACCACTTATGTGACTGTATGAGCACAAACAACTGAACCCTTAAGCCCATTTCATTGATGATTAAGGCTGATTATAAAAAGCCTCATCAAAGAAAAGCCCAGGATTCCTGCACATGGGGCCACCACTAAATTCTACCAAATGTTTAAAGAACTGATGCCAGTCCTTCTCAAACTTTCAAAAAATCAAAGTTGGGGTAATACTTCCGAACTCTTTTTACAAGACTAGCAGCAAACTATTCTGATACCAAAGCAAGGCAAGGACATTACAAGAAGATGAAAGTATAGGCTGATATCCTTGATGAGTATAAGAAGTACAAAAGTCTTCGACAAAATACTAGGAAATTAAGCTCCCAATAGAGTAAAAGGATTATCCATAATGGTCAAGTAGGATTTATCCTTGGGGTGCAAGAATGACTCAGCATGAACATATCAATAAATGTGATACACTGAATGGAATGAAAGACAAAAACCATGTGATCATATCATTAGAAGCAGAAAAAGCATATGACAACATTTAACATCCTTTCATGTTTAAAAAGAAACTAATGAAATTAGCCGTTAAGGAATGACCTCCACAGTGAAGTCCTGTGTGAGAAGCCCATACCAGTGGTGGACAGCCAAAGGCCTGGAGTGAGACAGGGATGCTTGCTCTGCTTACTTGTACTCAGCATAGTGCTGGAAGTCCCAGACAGAGCAATTAGGATAAGGAAAAAAAAAAAAAAGGCATGTGACTATGTAAGGGAGAAGTTAAATTGTTTCTATTTGATGATGATATGGCAAACTCCCCACCCCCAAGAAACTAGAACTGGTAGACAGAGTCAGTGAATTTTCAGGATAGCAAATTAACACGTGCAAGTCAAGAAAGAAATCAAGAGAACAATCCCATGTGCAATAGCTACAAAAACTGAAATACTCACTAATGGATTTCACCGAGGAAGTAAAAGACCTATACACAGAAAACTATAAATTATTGATGAAAGAAACTGAAGAAGACACAAACAAATGGAATGATTTCCTGTGTTCATGGATTGGAAGCATTAATATGAATTAACATTGTTAAAATTGCCATACTGTCTACAGCAATCTTCATAATCAATGCAAGTCTTATTAAAACCCCAACATCACATCCCATAGAAGTAGAAAAAATTCTAAAATTCATATGAAACAGAGAGAGAGAGCCAAACTGATCAAGAGCAGAAAGAACAGTTAGAGGCATCACACTACCTGATTTGCAACTCCACTATAAAGCCATAGTAATTAAAACAGCATGGAACTTGCAGAGAGAAAGCCCAGAAATGAGCCCCTGGATGTAAGGCTCATTATTCATTTAGGGGGAAAAAAAGTGTGTGTCCAAATGCCAGATGAATGGAATTAAATTTAAAATCCCCCCAAATCTCCAAAATAAAAATAAATGACTGTTTTTATAGCTGAGAGTAACAAAAGGCTTTCTGAACATGATGCCCCTGGTGAAAACGGTATAGAAAGACAGATGAATGTCTATAGACAAGCAAGCTTGTAATACCACCAGATCTCAAGACCTTCCACAAAGGGGGATGACGAGTGGTGAGGTAGACAAGCATATTCGCAACATAGGTGAGATGTTTGAATCCCTTAGCACTCACAGTGCTTGGAAATCAATAAATGTGGCACAGCACAGAAAATAGGCAATTCATTCACACAGGTGCCCACGCAACACAAGCCACAAGTGGTGCTCACAACTGCAATCCCAGCTACTCAGGAGGAGGAGGCAGAAGGATTTCGAGTTTGAGGCTGTACCAGGCAATAGTTAGTGAGACCCTGTCTTAAAAAATGCAAAAAAAAAAGGGCTTGGGACATGATTTAAGCAGTAGAGTGCTTCCTAACGTGTGAGACCCTGCATTCAATCCCCAGTATCAAAAAAAAGGGAAGAAAAATTAATACAAATGACAACATGTTTCATATCAATAAAAGTTAAAGAAATGGGAAAAAAGCTGGGCGTTGGTGGCTCATGCCTGTAACCCTATCTACTCTGGAGGCTGAGATCAGGAGGATCATGGTTTGAGGCCAGCCCAGGCAAATAGTTTGCAAGACCCTATCTTCAAAATAACCAGACCAAAATGTACTGGAGGTGTGGCTCAAGCGGTAGAGTGCCTGCTTTGCAAGCTCAAAGCATCCACCTAAAGGAAAATTTTTTAAAAAATACATCACGAGATGTCTGGGTCCACTGGCACCAGCAATGGAGCTAGGCTGCTTTGGTGTTAACTTGTTACATGGTGATAGAAAGTTGATGGATTCTTTTAGTCTAAATTTAAAAAAAAAAAAAAAACTTGCTACAAGCTCTTTGTTTCTACTTTCAACTTGCAAAGTATAACCACAGAAGAGGACATGACCCCAATCTAGCACGCAATGGCTGATCCCAAAGCTCACACAGTGAGATGGGCCGTGCCAGTCCTGCATCCCCGGCTCCTGTCCATGCATTCCACACCCCCGACTCCACACATTCTTCAGTTGCTCTGGTTTAGAACTTAACTGTATAAAGTACCATTTCCCCATGGGCATCTGGGCTGCTCCTAGATTGGGGCTGTTATAAATGCCACTGCCCTGAACATCTGTGTGCCCACCTCCTGGTGGGCATGGGCCGGCAGTGTGGTGGAGTGTGCCCCTAGAAGTGGTGGCACAGCCATGTGGTGAATATCTGTCACATTAATACGTAATACAAACTGTTTCCAAAGCAGTTTTTCCAGCACACTCACACCAGCAGGGTGTGTGATTCTCGTTCTCCAGCTCCTCCTGTTCAGATGGGATGACCTTCCTGTGGGTGGGTCACCCTCTCTCTGTCCCTGTTCCCCGCTCACCCAACACACACCCACACATTGTTCAGGATGCAATGTGGCCTCACTGGCAACTTCCATGGCAGTGCCTCACCTAGTTCCTTCTCGCTGCAGCCTGACAGAGACCTACTAGGACATCTTTTTACGTTAATACCGCAAGCTTCTCCTCCTCCCATTAAAATTTCCAAAAGCATGGTTTTAATGACTGAGTAATATTCAGTTGCATGCATTAACATAATTCATTTATTCCCTTATTACACACCAAGTTACAGATGTGGCTGTGGTAAACGTCTACATTTCTGAATATTTTTGCATATAGATTTTTGGTAGTCGGGATTCTTCCACCATCGCTGCTGGATGCATGAGTTATCAAAAGCCCACAGCCCACAGCCCTAGCCCGCAGGGGCGAGCGTGGGTGGGGCTGCTCACCTGCTTCACTTTGCAGTGTCTGAGAAAATGGAAGTTTAAGAAATTATTTTAAGGAGATTCCAAGATGGCGGCTAGAGGGAGGAAGCAGAAAGTGTGCCTCCTAAAGTAAAATCTTGGAGAGACGCTGGAGATACACCTTACAGGAAAAACCACTGAGAAGAGGCAAAACTTTGACTCCTGCACACCTCCAGCCTGCACATAGAATCTCCACTTCACATTAAACAGAGAAACCAGAAGGGCTCCCGTGCTGCCAGACTCCAGTGCCCAGACCGCTTGGGAAGACGCAGACCACAAGGTGAGCTAAGCGGCACTCAGTATTCCCACAGACAGTCCTGGGCCAGATCAGCATAGCCCCTGGACAGACAGACGCCCACCCAGGGAAAAAAAGAAACAAAAGCTGAATAATAAGCAATAACAAC